TTTTTTACGCACACACAAATTCTTATCTACAGATGCACAAATATACGCATTCTGATTTACAAAACTGATTTACAAGTACAAAATATTTATGACCACAATTTGAGCCCATATTTTTTCTTAAATCTAGCTTCATAGACAGTGTCACATCTGTGCCTGATTTTGAGAGCAGGGTTCCATGATGTTGATTAGCCTTTATATGTTTAGTGTTTCATTTCCTCTTAAAAGTTGGTGTCTTGCAAATTTTGGAGGTTTGTTTGTGTCTCTTTTTCATAATTTTCTCTCTTTTGTAGTTGTTACATATCTTAGTGGCCATTTGAAGCCGATGTGACTTAATGTTATTGTTTTACTTCGTTTTTGTCTCTTTTCAATCGCTTCCTTTCGCCTTTGCGCTCGTTATTTATGGTAGTTGTTTTTCTCCCTCTTTCGCCGCTGGTGTCGTCATGGAACCGAGCCAGTGATGTAGTGGGCGGGCCCTAATCGGCTTCTCTCTGATTGGCCCACCATTCAGTGCTTTTCTTCCTCGTCCACGAGCCGACCGAGAGCTGTCGGCTTTTATGCTGAAGCTGCTGTTCGTGCCTTATCGTCGCTGCACTCGCCGGTAAGTACTACAGGACTGTCCTAATGTTTTTAAGTATTTTTTTTCCTGCCTGGTGCTGTCTCTCGAGTTGTCGGCAGATGAGCAGCGTTCAAATCAGCTGCACCGGACAGATAACAGCCCGCTTATTCTCAACGTACAGCCGTGATATATCGTCATTTTCATGACTATATGTCTGTCACTTTATATCAAAGTGACAGATACGAACCGTTTGGCCCAGTTTCAGTGTCTTCACGTTTGTTGTTGGTTATGCTGCCCCTCAGTAGTGACCCTCTGGGTGACGCAATACGCGCAGAGTATGTCCATCCCGGGCCTCTCCTATGGTTTGTTTAAGCACACTGCTTTTTGTAACGCACTTTGGCACACATCATCGGCTGGGAGGTGATCCCCGTCGATTGCACATAGGTATTTGAGTGAATAGATGCGTTTGCTGCTCCACTGGATGAAAGACATCCTTTCTATACAAGACTTAGTGCATTAGTGAAATAAGGCAGCCGCTGGCCAAAATCACAGACCTCACGTTGAATCAGCAAATGCAGCACGGGACCCTGCTGATGACAATTACACCCCCCCCCCCAAACACACACATACACACACACACACACACAGTGTGCATCTGCAGCAGTGAAATTTGTTTCACCAGACTGCATCTTTTTTTAATGTAATTTCCCAGCATGATGACAACGCTGTCGCAGACAAAGGAGCTCTTCAGGAGAGCTGAAGCTGTCTGCTTTGATGTGGACAGCACAGTAATCAAGGAAGAAGGCATTGATGAACTCGCCAAATTCTGTGGTGTGGGGGATGCAGTCACTGAAATGTAGGTGGATTTTAATTTTTTTTAATGGATTTGTTGTGGGTGTTTAGAACAAACAAAAATGTGTTACTTGGACGTTTCAGGACACGCAAAGCCATGGGCGGCTCAATGACCTTCAAAAAGGCCCTGACTGAGCGTCTTTCCATCATCCGATGTTCCAGAGAACAAGTCAACAAGCTGATAACAGACCACCCACCTCAGCTTACTCCAGGTGTCAGGTGAATTAATGTAGAAATAACTGACCTCTTTAGGTAGATGTTGTCCTCGATATTATAATAATAACTTATATGAATGCATGGTTGAAAACTATTGCCAAAAACAAATAGGAGTCAGCTGAAAATGCAGAAAGCAAAACCTTCAGAGTGTGAATCACAAACCAGCTGTAATGTGTGCATACAAACACAAAATTTATCACACACACACAGACAGACAGACAGACCCTGTGAAACACAAAATTTCTCACACACACAAGACAGACACAGACCCTGTGAAATACTGCTGCTGACCTTTCTTCCTGAATCACAACGTTTCCGTCCAGCTGACCAACATCAGGTCAGGTAAACAAACAAAATGTTTGCACCTGATGAAGTTCAGTTGGACGGTAATGTTGTGATTCAATAAAATAGTGGTAAACAAGTTGGTTCTGGAGGGCTGCCTTAAAAATGGTAAATGGCCTGTATTTGTATAGCGCTTTTCTAGTCCCTAAGGACCCCAAAGCGCTTTACATATCCAGTCATCCACCCATTCACACACTGGTGATGGCAACTTCCTTGTAGCCACAGCCACCCTGGGGTGCACTGACAGAGGCGAGGCTGCCGGACACTGGCGCCACCGGGCCCTCTGACCACCACCAGTAGGCAACGGGTGAAGTGTTTTGCCCAAGGACACAGCGACCGAGACTGTCCAAGCTGGGGCTCGAACCGGCAACCTTCCGATTACAAGGCGAACTCCCAACTCTTGAGCCACGATCGCCCCATAAAAAAACCCAAACAAAATATATCTGCAGTTCTAGCGATGTGAACGACACTTGGGATCAAGAATAGAAACATTTGTCTGCTTCATCAAGTGAGCGCATGTACACTTCTGTGAGTTTGCAGTAGATTTTGTGCCACTGTAACTTTACTGCACACTCTCTTTTGGTTGCATTAGTAAGATATGCACATCCAAATGAGCAGAGAAAATTTTGCACTTCCAAAAGATTTTCAAACTTTAAACACATAACCTGCTCTGGACGTGGTCAATATGTTCAGCATAAGATGCTATGTTGATCAAGAGAAAGAGAGTCACCTTCCTGACACAAAACTCTGACTTTAAGCGCTAAGCTAGCCTAACCCATTAACCGCTCACCTCATAGTTTATCTCTCTGGCCTGACACTGAAAAATAATTGCCCTGTGCTTAAATGAACTACGTGGTGAATCAGGCCCTGAAATCTTGTATCCAACAAGAATGGAAAAGACTTTTGTCTGTCCACAGTAATCACTACTGGTTAATCAGTCCTAAAAGTCTACAATCAACTAGTGCTTGAGATCACATTTGGTCACATTTTCCAGGCAACAATCTGTGAACTGAGAGCTGGATAAGCTACCACGTTCTGGTTTTACTTTGTATCCATTTTATTTTTTGATTAGTTTTTACCTTATTAAGTCATGTGTTTGGTCATATTTGTATTGGATTTCACTGAGCCACATACCGTTCTCCTTATTTCAACAGTCTGTAATTTGTTTGTGTTCAACTCCTGTAACAAAGGAAAACAAAGGAAAAATTTCCCAGCATTGGGATAAATAAAGTGCATCTTGTCTTATTTCATTTTGCAGTAAAGTGGCAAAGCCGTGTCTCCTGGAAATTGTTCTTTCTTCTTCTACATTATTGCATTTTTGTAATTAAATTTTAGAAAACTTCACATGGCACAGGGCAGCAGAATAACTCTCATTGCATGTGAATGTCAAAAAACATTTTCTTCTGAGTGTTGATGTTTTTCCATTTCTTTGTCCAGGGAGCTCGTGGACCGTCTGCATGAGCTCAACATAAAGGTGTTCCTCATTTCAGGTGGCTTCCGCTGCATTGTTGAACACGTGGCCACTCAGCTAAACATCCCTTTGAATCACGTTTACGCCAACCGGCTCAAATTCTACTTCAACGGTAAGAGCCAGCGGCGGGCTGTTTGTGATGTTCTTCTGTTCTCACATGAGTGGAAGTCCAGGCTAAACCCTTTGAGTGGATCATTGAATATACACAACAGACCCTTAGGTTTAATCTAAGTCAGGTCTTTTGACTGGTTAAATTAAATTCAATAAAAATATCATCTTCCAGGAGAGTACGCTGGTTTTGATGAGAGTCAGCCCACAGCTGAGAGCGGAGGAAAGGGGAAGGTCATCAGCATGCTGAAGGAACAGTACGGCTATGAGACTGTGGTGATGATCGGAGATGGTGCCACTGATCTTGAGGCCTGCCCTCCAGCTGTAAGTGTCGCCGTTTGCTGGTGTAAAAAGCGATTACAGTGTGATTACAGTATTTCACCCTTTTATTTTGTCTTCAGAGCGCTTTCATTGGATTTGGCGGGAATGTCGTCAGGCCGCAGGTCAAGGAGAGGTCTTCGTGGTATGTGACGAGTTTTGGGGAGCTACTGAAAGAACTGGAGAAGATTTAATGGTGCTCAAAGATTAGTTTATGATTTTTAACATGTTATACTTGCACCTAAGGGTGTGCCACTGGTAGATTTTACCAAGTGGACGTTTTTCCTTAGACCTCAATAGATTTTTATATTAAATCAAATGTTTATACTAGTGGGAGCAATCGTAACTTTAATAGCTATGTTGCCCTTTTTTATACTACAAGGTACTAAAACACTACATGGAAGACAATCTTAAAAAGATTATTTTAGTGTTTTTGCAGTTTACATGAAAGCTTTTAGGTGGACTAGAACGACTCCTTTGTATTATGGCACGTGCAATGAGAAGTAAAAGTATTTTTAATCGGGTTTCTGTTCTGTAAGAGCTGTAAGCAGACCTGTCAGTGACAGTGTAGTGACTCAAGTCAGAAAAACACAGCATTAAAAGATGAGTGTCCACTTTGCTGTTTGAATGACTTTAATCTGTGTTCTTGTCCTTGTCTCTACATTGTTCCCTCTGAACAGAAACACCAGATCAACATGCTTCCTTTAACAATAAAAACCGTTACGGTATGAAGCAGCGTGACTGTGATCGCCTGCGTACCAAATTCACTCAGTCACTGATATGCAGAACACCTGTTTTCACTTAATAACTGATTTGTGCCTCGTTAAGATACGTTGGATAAAAACGGACTTTAAAACCAGGCATGCCGTCCTGAGAAAAAGACAAACTGTGTAAGCCATAGTTACAAACACAGCACCACTAAACATTAATGTTACCAGGAAATGTAGGGACATCCACGAAAAGCAACCAAAAGGAGTAAAACAATGATTCATAATACACATCAAATATAAAATTATGGTATCTGCATTTCACACACTTATGATTTTGAAAGAAATATAGTTTCTATTCATACAAGGGCTCTCTTTTCAGTCTGAAATGGCATGGCTTTTACATCAAAGTTTCTCAGCACACTTAAAAACATGATGTACTTTAAAGTTACATTAAATAAATAAATAGCTCCTGCAGCGAGCTTCAGCAGTACTATTTTTAATCTAGCTGTTCCCACACTTTAACGCCATACAGCTGCTCCTTTTGATTTTTCCTGTCAAGTAACTTTGGTTGGCTCTAACCTTGGAAATGAAATCTCTCCATGGACCAATTTTGATGTGGCACCACATTTCAGACATAAACACATCTACATATTTTAACACTCCCTCCCAAACCTGAATTCACACAGAAAATACTGCGTGTCTTAAAAGTGGCGTGGAGCCTTTCAGTAACTATTTGAACTGCAGATAAATTTCAGAGACCCGACTCGATTCAAGCGACATCCTTCAGTAATAAAACAGACGTTAACAAAAAGAGAATGGACGTTGTTTGGCAGCACTGACAAAGATTGAACCCATGATGCTGATGTAACATTCAAAGGAGGTGCCGCTCGATGTCAGCTTCCAGTTGGCTTTTCATTTTACTGCAGCGGCGAAGCCTTTGTGGGAATCATGATCCTTGAGTCCATGTGCTGAATGAGTGGGACTGGGAAAAGATGAGTTTAAAAACCTTTGAGGCTCAGAAAGTGACAAACTCAACAAAAAACTTTGTAAAGTTTTCAGTCGCACAGCTTTGAGTTTACAAAAAGACTTATTGTGCTCACCTGTGTAATACACCACCTCGTGCCAGCCTTCCTGCTGCCACACAGCATTCCTCGTGTCTTCTCGGGACTGAAGGTCCTTGTAAGCTGTAATTAACAAATCACTGCATTATAATGCTGCAGTATAAGTACATGATTTTAAGTTAAGACTTAATCTGGTAACTTTGTAATGATCAAATTAATCACAGAAGACATTTTTAGGACACGTGCATCTGTAAAGACAAGCTAACAAATGTTTCCTCATGTTTGAGCTCCACCAACTTTCAAGCTCCTGATGGCTCCACTTTTTTTTGTTTTTACCTGCTAGTTGCTAAATTTTGCTTAATTTACGGAACAGCGATTGTGCGGGTTTGCTGAGAGGCAGTTTCAGCCACTGTAAACGTGCTCCTGTGCAGTCCTCAAATCTCAACCACATTTGTGCTTCTCCCAGGAATGGGAGAAAACCCAATCAAAGACAAAATACAGCATGAGAAGCACAGACTGTGGCTGCAGCAGAAACTTTCAATGCTTTGAACACTCAGTTTCACTTCAGCTCTTTGCTCTCCTTGATGGATGGCTGACAGACCAACAACAGCACAAGCAGGAGTAGACAGACCAGTCATACCACATATTTTGTTTGCTTCCCCCATCTGTTAACAGACCAAGTCTTGCAGGTGGAGGGAGAGTCTGAAGCTGACAATATGCTGCCACCTCTCAACCATAATTTCCTTGTTAGGCTGTGGGGTTGTGCTGATGATGTCAGGGATAGATGGTGGTCAATTTTAAGGTGATTTTTATCTAATTTTCCTGCGGATTCATTGTTCTGCGATTAATAACAAATTCAACCTGCCAGGCCACGGTTTCATGTCACTCCTCCACACATAACTCACACTTGCAACACAGACCTCTGTGCACATTTAAGCTAATGTGTATGTGTGCGAATTGCGTTTGCTGTTCCATCATATTCATCATCCAATGGGAGAAAACAGGAGGCTGGATTTACAGAGATCCTAACGTTGTCTTGTCTATGTGTGCTGAGGCAGAGTGAAGAAAGCAGGATAAACAGGTGAAATATTTTACACAGGAAAAAACCCAAACTAGATTATGTAGAACTGTAGGTCAATTCAGTTCAGCTTTATTTATATAGCACGATCTCCATGTCCTCCACACACAGCTGAGTTTTTCACCAACAAAAATGTCAGATGGGGAAAAGTTTCCTATTTTGACCCAATCAGTAAATGTTGTATGTTAACAGGCAAGCATTTCTTCATGATGGAAGTGAGAAAAACTAATGTAGGCTACCTGTTTCTCTTTCACCCATGCACATTTTTTTGTGCATGTAAGTTATGGAGGGTAGACAGCGATGCCTCGGGGTGGGCAACAGGACTATCAAGAAAATCGCCCCATCCCTAGTGTACAGAGGGCCGTCTCTCCCTCACAGCTGTATGCTCATTCTTGAGAACAGTGAGACCGTTTTAATAGATTTGTTGTAGTTTTGGTCCGCTTTGGTCTGAGTGACGTAAATTATGTGAGAGGTGAGCGCGAAGCTCTGACTTCACATCACAACGAACCAAGTTTGCACACTCCCTTCAAGCAGACTTCAAAGCAGTTTTCACAGGAATGACTATTTGCTCGTGATTAAAGCTCTCTGGAGAGCTGGGTGTACTGCAAATTGGGATGATAATTACCTCAGTTAACATTGCACACATTTATCTATCAATTACACGCCTCAGGAGACAATCTCACATTGCCTGTTTTGACCACACAGCCCAAAAATCCAAATATATTAACTCTATAATAACAAAGAAAAGCAGAAAATCTGGAACATGACATTTCTGGTATGTATATCCAAGATAAATTACTGTTAACTGTTGTTGATTTTCTGCGAAGCAACTAATGATTTCAACATTAGCGTAATTATCTAAAGTCAGCGTGGAAGTGTTTGAACGTACCCCAGAGGTGATGGACCATATAGAGGTTTCCAATCTGTGAGAAAAACCCTCCCACAGCTTCTCTGTTCTGCTGGCGGTATCGAACGGCTCTGGCCCTGCAGACAAAAGCACCTTTGGTCACAGCACAGGCCAAAAAAAACACAAAGGCTTCATCTGGCTTAACACCAGACCACCACAAACACACACATGAAATATTTAACCAGCATTCAAAGGATTTCAACATCATCCCCGAATACCTCCTGATTAATTCACACGACTGGATTTTCTCAGCTAAAGCAGGATTGCAACCTGCTCCTTTAGCTGCGATTATAACTTCCAACATCACATCCGACCGCGAGACGTGACATCATCATGACTTACTGTACGCATGTTTATGAATCTAAAGACTGGCCAAGTCTTCGTGAAACGAGTGAGGAGAATGTTTTGAATCTATTACATTTTCCTCCCAAAGCAAACATAAACATATTCAAACCATAATCACTGTCTGGATAGAAAACTATGAAGCTCGAGTTTCATCAAACTGGTGAAATACGAAGCAGAAGTTTAAACCTTTAACCGCACAAATTATATTAAATAGCTTTACTGGCATTATCTGCAGGACTTTGGAGGTTTATTTAAAAAAAAAGCTGGTTAAAGTGTGAATGAATACAAACATTAAGAATATAAAAAAAAAAGAAAAAAAAAAGAAGCTGTCACAGTGTGTTTTTTTTTGCATTAAGGCTGATTTCCTAGCCATGATTACTGAAAAGCACAGGGAACAGGGGGAGATCAATCAATCATGTGTGCTTTTCTAGGAAAAGGCAAAGCATAAAGCTTCAAAGCAGAAAATCTTACGTCTAACTTAATAATCAAATAATACCTGTAATAATATTTACATATAAAACTGCACACAGGCTAAGTTTGCAGGATAATGACAACTTTTCTTCTGAATATGTAATCCCAACCACTAATAACTAAAAGCAATAAAACTATGGTCAGACAGAAGAAATTTATCTGGAAAGCAAAGGCTTGTGCAGAAAGCTCACATCCTCAATTTAATCCATCACAATCTTCGCTGCTGCACCTACTGATAAATGCTGATCTGCTGGCTCTGTGAGTCCACGCAGCGGCTCTTTCCAGGCTCACATTACTCAACTATTATATACACGTTTGTAGTGTACACACTGTTACACTAGCATTTGATTCTTGGCTTGAGGGAATGACAGCATAGCTTCAAACGTGGGGGCGTCTCTGTGGAATAGCTCTTATTAATGACAGTGTGATGAGGGAGCTTTCATGTAGTACAACTGTTCTGTAAGTACAGTTCAGTGAATCAAGTGAATTCAGGCTGCCTTACCAGTAATTACCCCACTCGATCATGGTTCCTGGCTGCGAGAGAGAAAACACAATATTCTTTATTAGATTTAAGCATATATATGTAATGGAGAACTTTCGAACTTCTTTCCAAAGTAAATATATTAATGTAAAAGAGAAAAGAAAATGGCAAAGAGGTAGTAACACAGGTATTTTGTCAATGCGAACAACTACACCCGAGAGAGCGCCTTCAATCATTCTCTGGTGCATAAGACGACAAACGCCCTGCTGTTTCAAAGATGCAATCTCAGCCCGTGATGAGGGGATAATAGCGAGCATTCATCACATGTCACAGAGGGGTGCTGGTCTAGAGACAGTTTGATTTTTTCAATTATAAAAAGCATGACTTAATCTGCGGTGGATGGCGTGGTTTCGATTAAGAGTTTCTGCACGTTAGTGATCATCCCGTGATGGTTAGCACAACACTCGGGATGATCCTGAGTGTCGTGCTAACAGCTTGAGGGGAAAGAAGTAATTTAAGTCCACAGAAGGATGTCAGGATGGAGATCATCAGTTTTAAATG